AAAAAATTACAAATTTAAAAATCGCTAATTTTTTCAATTTTTTTTATTAAAAACTGCCATAACTTTTACAATAATGGTTATATCAAAATGATTTTTTTTTTATAGATGCATAATGTCTTTATCTATCATTTAGTATGTTTTTTTTGTAAATTTGACCCTTTATCTGCCCACAGCGGGGGATTCAAAAAGACGACTTTTTCACAAAAAATTTAATTTTTAACTTAGCTTTTGAAAGAGTTTCGGAAATACTGATATTTTATACATATATTAAATTAAAGCTATTGTAATGTACTTTAATATGGATAGTAAAAACTTCGAATTTTATTTCATTTTCATAGTAAAAATGGCTTCGGTATGCTATTTTTGTGTTAAAATTTTCGATTTTGTTTTTATTTTATTTTAAATACCTTGCACAAGTTTTTTTGTTAAAAAAATGTTTAATTTTTTTGATTTTTATATCACAATATATATTCAATGAATATCAAAAACCCTATATTCCCTCGTTAGAAGATATTTCTTATTCATATTAAAGTTTTTTTACTATGGAATTTTTTTGTGGCACTCATTTGATCAACTTTTTTCGATGATACATTAAATGATCACTATTATCTAGTTAAAGATATTACTCTCAAAAATTGAAAAAATTTCAAATTTATCAATTAAAAAGTTACTTAGCCCACATTTTTCATGTAGACAATTAAAATTCTTTATTTTTAATGTTTTCGAAGTATTTATTGTCGATCTAGGTTTTATATAATAATAGGTTTCAACTACAAAATTAAATAATTTTAATGTATGGATCAATACAATTTTTGTGTGATAAATACTAATTATATACTTCTTTCATTCGATATACTTTTATTTTAGCTTCGATGTGAGGCTGAGAAGGTATTAATTTTACTATAATGTGTTTTTTTTTTGNAAGCTGAGAAGGTATTAATTTTACTATAATGTGTTTTTTTTTTGTGTCTGTATACTCTCAGTCTCAGCTCTCACTGAACCGATTTCTTTCAACGATACGTCAAAAGATCACAAATCGTATCTAGATGAAGACATTACCCTCAAAAATTGAAAAAAATTCCCTGGTTCCCCGTAAACGGGGGAAATCCCCCAAAAAATTACAAATTTAAAAATCGCTAATTTTCGACATTTCTTAAATTTTTTTTACTTATAATTGCCATAACTTTTTTAAAAATTACCGAATCAGTATAATTTTTTTTTTTTTATAGGTACCTTAGATATTCACCTATCATTTTATATATTTTTGTTAACATTTGTCCTTTGACAAGTCCACGGGAAGGGGTTTCAAATTGGAAACTTTTTTACAAAAAATTAACTTTTTCAACTTAACTTTTGAAAATGTTCCAGAAAGACTAACACTTTTATATATATTTTAAATTAAAGCTAATGTAATATGCTTTAATTTGAAAAAAAAAATTTTGACCTCTGGACTTGTCTTCATGGTGAAAATCACTACCATATGGAAAAATTATGCTATTTTCGTGAAAAAATTCATGATATTATATTTTAAATTTTTTAACATTATGTTGCTATAACTTTTTAAAAAATGCATAAATCAATTCTATTCTATAATAATAAATACTTTATATATATCTCTTTCATTCGACAAACTTTTTTTTTAAATCGGATCATACTCCTTTATACAAGGGGGGTCAAAACTTTAAACATGCGTATTGTTACTAGGACATTTTCAATTTATATTTTGAAATTATTCCAGAAATACTGACACTTTTATATAAATCTAAAATTAAAGNCGATATTTTCAATTTAATTTTTGAAAGTATTCCGGAAATACTGACACTTTTAAATATATCTTAAATTAAAGCTTATGTAATATACTTTAATGTGAAAAAAAAAAATTTGACCTCTGGATTTGTCTTCATGGTAAAAATGACTACCGTATTCAAAAATATGCTATTTTTGTGTTAAAATTCTGGGTTTTGTATTTTATTTTATTTTAAAATACTTGACAAGGGGTATACAGATTTTTATAAATATTAAATAAATAAAAAACGATAGCACAGTGTGGACGAGGCATAGATGGGACAAGTATAGATGATATCTGACAGTGATTAAAATCACTATCATAAGAAACGCTTCGATGCAAATCTGTAGATAGTGTTTCATTTAGAGAAATTGGTAGATTATTCCAAAAGCAATATCAACATTTTTCTTTAATTATATCCTGATTAGTAATTCTTTGATTTTAAAATATAATATATGAATAAATACTAATTATAGTTTTTAAATTTAGTATGAAGTTGTAGGCCAGCTATGATGTATGGTTCATAGTGATGGGTGGAAAGTAGAGCAGAGAATAAGTGTAACAGAGATGAGAATACTTAGTTGGATGAGTGGAGTGACTAGAGAAGATAGTACAAGGAACGACCATATAAGAGGAAGTATAAATGTTGCGTCAATCGTGGATAAGATGACAGAAAATAGACATAGATTGTTTAGTCAATTT